TTTCTTATTTAATATTTACATATATGAGCTGTGACATATGAATCAAGATGCTATGACCATAAAAAATTAGATTGACAGATGACCGTTGATCTATGATTGGCCGAATTTAGGTGTACAAGCTGACCTATAACTAACTGGCCTGCATAAGATAACGGAAAAACCCCCCACAGATTTTAAGACAGGATTTTATTTTATTTTTTTATAGAAATTTTGTAATTTTTGGGACAATATGGTCTGATAGAGTACATTTATATATACATGTTTAGGCCAGAATGATTTGACCTTTAAATATGATTTCCCTACGACTTTAAAGGAATCAAGTACTTGTTAAATATGTTGGACTGAATGTGCTGTCATTTTTATTTTTAACATAAAATCAGACATTTTTGATACGTATAAAACTCATAATTACTTCAAAACGTATAAATCCTTTTTTCACCTGTGCAATGCATGCTGGGTAAATTAGGCACTTAAGTCCTATTGGACGGGAACCTACAGAGTAAACGCAGGACGGAATTATATCATATTGTGTTTCACTGGGATATACATGAGTTATGTGTTATGCTCTACTTTTGCTATATTGGCTAGTGCTAACACTATTAGTAGAGGCTAACTTGACATCTAACTGGTTGACAATGAACAACTTTTTAAAGTGAAAGTGAAGCATCTTTCAATGGTTATATCACATTGTTCCTATAATGCTTTGACGCTAACCATAAATAGCTTGAAACTCAAGCTCTTTGTAGCGTAGCTCTTAATCTAGGTTAGCACATTTTAGCCGCACCGTCTTTGTCCAACTTTGCCTTCCATTTGGTCCTCCTCATCTTCATTCCCTCTTGTGATTTCTACATTGCCATTGAATATAATGTGCTCCGGTTCAAAATGAACATGTTACTCTTTCTGTTTAGCGTTACAGGACCTTGTATACATAATTTACCCAGAATGCACTGAAGCCTAAGAAAACATGGTGACTTCTGTGTGACAGTGTTTTATATAAATGTATTAAAACTAAACAGCTCAATATTTTACTGTATTGTATTTACATCAAATAGAAATATTTCTTTAAAAAAGTATGCTGTTACATCTAAAAGACAGAAAGATGAAGAGTACATTCTTTCCCTTATGCTAAATATCTTCGTTTTGAAGCTCTTCCCATTTTTTTTACAGTTATTGTAATGTGACCATTTTATAGTCACTTAACAACTCATAAACACGCCTACAACATATATGGGTGAATCTTTTGAGTTAAATTTGCCTCTGATATTATAAAAAGCACGATGACTCCTGCTTGCATTACCCGCTGTACACAGCAGAGGTCACAGATTATCGGACCCATCTGCTGGCTAATCCGGACACAATCTGATTTAAAACATTTATAAATTACTGCATGTTTTCCGACCACAGTGTCTAAATTCACTTGCGCCGCTTCTCCTGTTAATATGGTAAAGCCCTCCAGAACGT